AAGTTTTTTAATGCTCAAGCATGTGGTACACATAACAACCACTGTGTTTTAAAGCATTATTCTCGGCAGTAGCTGCAGGGGCAAACACTCCTTGTTCAGGTGGACAAAACAATGATTACGTAATAACTTACCACTCGACTTGAAATCGGAGAATTGTGCAAAATGCTAAGCTGATACAGCCTTTCTGAATAAATTGATTTGCACCCGCCCCTTGTTAAATGCCGAGCCCAGAGTTTGCCTCCTACTTTCCTCCGACTGTAACAAACAGAGGTGTGACCGTCAATTATAGGTACAGTTCTGTTCAAATCAGTACATGAGGTACAGTCTATTCAGAAAGAATGTAAGACTAACTATTGCAGACAGTTTTTCTTTCTTTTGTCTTAAAAGGCAGAGCGTTTGACTGGTTCTGAAGGGTGCAAACGGGATGAGTTCATCTACCATCCTTTCATTACGTACTGAGTATTTGATATGAGATGGACAGCAAAGAAAACACCGGGCCCAAAAGTTCTATTGTTGCATGTGTATTCATTCCAGCGGGAAAAATGTTTACCAAATGTTTCACCAGGCCGTGAAGACCTATAGGGTTGTGAGCCGTCGAGGCTCCCACATTTTCTAGACCAGTGGTTCTCAACTTTTGTCAGACCGCGGCCCAGTAAATTCGTTTTTCTATAAGACGAGGTCCCGGTATCGGGCCGTGGACCGGCGGTTGAGAAACACTGTTCTAGAAAATCGGCTCATAGATTTCGGTGAAGTTTCCAGCCTTAAGCGCCGGCCGCCATTTACCGCCCAGGAAGATTCCTGGTACTCATTTATGTCAGATCATGAGTTGACCCCAGGGCCATAGTGCGGCTTAAAGGATTAGGCCAATTGAAAAATTCAGTGACCTCATCGGGAATCGAACCCGCGACCATCCGGCTTGTAGCATAGTGCCTCAACCAACTACACTACTGCGTGACCCTAAATTAATATACCTAAAATTTTGATTAGTGGTAACGTCGGTTTTAGTTTGAGTATTATGTTTTTATTTCCTAAATTTTGGGTATATTTACTTTATAAACTACTATACCTAATAAGCCATAAATTCAAATTGATCACTCTATTACGCTGAGAAATTTCCTCTTGGCGAAGGAAAATTTTGAAGTAAAGGTGAAGTTTCCCCTGCGCTTAAATAATTAAGCACTGTACCACAAAGATGTAAGGGGAAGTGGAGGTATAACCCTACCATTCACAATCTCGGTACTGGATGGAGGTGGGTGGTCAGCTACAAACCAATGCCTCTTTAACCCCACGGAAAGATTCCCTGGTACCCACCGGACACGATGCTGGGTGAACGTCAGAGTAGGTCTGGACGCTGTGAGCAGCAGAAAAAAAAATCTTACCCCTGCCGGAAATCGAACTCCAATTCCTGGACCACACAGCCGTTTAACACAAATTTCCTCTTTTGTATCATGTCTATGTCCTTTGCCTATTATTCAGTTATCACTGCTGGTTCTTTTATCGCTGTTAAAGCGACCGCAGCGCAAAACTAGCCACTCGCCTCCATCAAGAGCCAAAGTTAAGAATGCCGGAGTTTTTCCTTCCATTCCTCTGTACTTCAAGACGTGACACTTAGACGGGGAACAGCTATGCTTTACATTTACCCTTACCTTTGTCCGAACACTTATGACAACGTTGAAGCATCACGCCATTAAACTGACGGGTGAATGGAGGTACAGTTCCACTATTTCTAACCTCGACACAAGTTGGTGTGGTTAGCTTCATACCCTTTCTACACCCGCCGCGAAACAGCTTTCAGTTCCCATTCGACAGTAGGGTGAATACATCCCAGAGCCTGTCTGGATGTTATGGAGAAAGTCCTTTGCCCCTGCCGGAAATCGAACCCCAACTCCTCGGTCCCCCAGCGCGTAGCCCAGCCGCTATACCAACGTAACTGTTCCGGGTCCTAACAATTTAAAAAAAAAATTAAAACAGCTGATTAACTTCGAAAAGACACTGAGAGCAGAAATCAGCGAGAAGGGATTCCCCTGACGGAGACAAACCGCCTGACGCATGTCCGAATATTTATAGAACAGAAACGAGCTGTAGGAGTCACAAGGCCAGCGAGGAGGGGATTCCTCGAAGCAGAAGAACATCGGAAGACCTCAGAGAACACTGCCTTGCTGTTGCGTAACAGATTCTATTGTAAACCGGTCCCACAGGTTGTTGAAGAAACTTATTTTCTTAGCAATAAAAACTGCAGGAGTCAAACTAAACGCCCAGGAAAATATATCGATCTAAGAAAAATGAACACAGCAATTTAAACTAGAATTTCTGGGAAGAACTAATGGTCTACTTTCCCTTTATACGACACGGACCGAGTAGAAAACGATGCCTCCAAAAATTCTTCGTTCCCGCGGGAAAGTATTTACCTAGTTGTTACCTAGCAACGATATGGGGAGACGTAGACCACAGACTCTCCTTTGATAGGACACGGACTGCACAGAAAATGATACGTCCAACAATTCTTCTACTTGCACATATTCATTGCAGTGGGAAAGTGTTAACCGAACCGTTGCCTAGCACCGAATGGAAGAACATTTAACCGAGCCGCTGCCTGCAATGATAGGAGGGACATATATACAGACACACAGACTGATGGGAGGTTTTTATGAAGTACACCGCTGAGATGGGCTCAGTCGCCATGTCTTAAAGACTTAAAGACTTAAAGTCTTAAAGACTGGATCGGGCATTGAAAAGTTTATGGGGGAGGATACACAGACACACAGACAGCATGGAGTATGAAAGTAGGTTAAAATATCCCCCCACCCCCAAAATGCACAAAATATACCACTGTTTCATAATTTATTTTGAATTGGAACAGCCCTGAGGACGTAAGTATCACTGTGCCTTTTGTCATATGTCGCTGCACGTGTAAAATTAACTGTCAAGCAGTTGTGACTTTTGTAAAATAAAATAAGCGAAACAGGTTCTTGCATTGCTGATACTGGACGTGTGAGGTTTTCTTTTTGCGCTTGGGGCGGAGGCTCCATGGCGTATAAATCGTGCATGGGGGCGCTGACAGTCTGAGCACATGGCTCCAGAAACTTTACTGCGCTAGCAAGGGTCCAGGAATTCTCGTTAGTTATCTTGCTCAGAAAACCCCCCATAATGCGTTCCCTCCCCCGAGTAAAAGAATTGCATACGCATACAGAGTAAAAGGATCAATTTTTAGGAAATTATTCATTTTTCGAATTTGGGGTAAGATGACCATTCGGAGATTGCAATCTGTCTCCGTCCTCAGGTACACAACTTCCTTTGTTGGGTCTAGTCCCAATCTCCGAAGAAAGGGCCTAGGGATACAGACGGAATCCAGTACGAGAGAAGATGAATAAAATAACTTTATAACGATGGCTAATATCCCAAAACAAGAAGTTCTTGCAAGAACCAATCTCCTACTTTCCTTTGATACGACGCACACTGCACAGAAAATAACGCCTCCAAGAGTTCTTCTTCGCTGCAGGTTCGCGTTTACCAAACCGTTGCCTAGCAACGATAGGGGATACACACACAGAACCAAAGACTCGTCTTTGATGCAACACGAACAGCATAGAGAATGGCGCGTACAACAATTCTTATACTGTTGCGTGTATTCGTTGTTGCGGGAACGTGTTCACCGAGCCGTTGCCTAGGAACGAAAAGGGGGATAAACATACAAACACACGGACTGATGAGAGGGATTTAGAAAGTACGCCACTGAAAAGGGCTCAGGTTCCAAGACATACGTACCAAATTTCATAAAGATTGGTTCAGGAGTCCGAAAAGTTGATATGGGGGATATACATGGACACAGACAACACGGCGATCATATAAGCATACTTCTATTTTTTCAGAATATGGAAAGCAGGCTAGAAGTATACGAATATATAACAAAATTGTGCAGGCGACAAGCAGAAGTCGTACAAAATCATCAGAATGAACATGTTCGTAGTATAAGACAAGGCGAAGCCAGACATCGAAAATATAAGAGGTTTTAACTTGGTGTCGGTCAAGCTTACAACCGTTCAAGTGACTAAGCTGCCGTTGTAGCATAAGATACGTGAGATTGATATCATCTGCTCTGCAAGGCCTGCACTGACAGAGGATTTGCATACAGTGCGATACGTACACGTGACAAAGGCAAAGAGAAAACCCCATCCTCTCATCAGAGAGAATATTTCATACGAAATATGATCATATGGGTTCAGTTAACATGAAAAAACTGTGGTCGTGAACCTCGAGGGGCTTGGCACCAAGACGAACTGATTGACCGTAAACCGCCTGTTGCAAATTAACTCTGAACATCTCTAGTAATTTCACTTTTCTGTCTTCTTTCCGAAGGCTGAAAGCAGAACGTCACTTATGCTACTTGTTGACCTCGTTAATTCCTTGAAATTCCGGTATAAATATATTCAACCTCTAACAGTTTGTCTTACACATGCATGCCCACAGGTCTGTAATGGTCTGATACAGTGCTCTTATTAAGAGGTGAATCAGATGAAAATTATCCTTGGGTTATTTAATTACACAATTCGAGCACATGCGTTCAGAATGTCGTATGTCATTCGGTATAAAAACTGGGTTATGAGCTGGAAGAACGAAGAATCGTGAGTTCAATTCCCGCACCGACAAGATATATTTCTCTTACCCTGCAGTATCAAAACCGGCTATGAGGTCACCCAGCTTCCTGTCCATAAGAGGGGCTCCTACCATCCACCCAGGTGGCTTCATGGCCTACCGCTGCATTAATCACAGAGACACAATAACCTTCTAAACTTTGCAGATAAAGGTAAAGCTATCCATGTAACCGGCCATGGGGATCATAGGGTTGTGAGACGTCGAGGCTCACACATTTTCTAGACAAGTAGCTCACAGATGGCGGGGAGTTTTTCAGCCTTACGCTCCGGCCGCCCTTTACTCCCCCAGGAACCTTCCTGGTACTCACTTCTGTTAGAGCATGAGTCGACCTCAGGGATATAGTAAGGCTGGAAGGATTAGGTAACTTGAAAAATCCAGTGACCTCGTCGGGAATCGAACCCGCGACCTTCCGGCTTGTAGCATAGTGCCCGACAAACTTTGTAGGTTCTAACATTTGCTTCTGAAACAATGAGGAAAAAGGAAGGTTTGAATCTAATAACAGAATCTAAAGTAAATCAATTAGGAAGATTAAATGGATCTTGGAGAAGACCTAATGTCTTCCACTGACTTTCATGAACCGACATTTGTGAAAGGTGGAGTAG